AAATTATATAACTAGCTAAAAATAAATCACAAATACTAGACTCAACGTTGAACAACTTATTGTATGCCCTCATACTAGAACACAACTAATCAAGTGTCATCGATTTATTCATAATCTCAATCCTCTTATGGTAATTTTTTCTCACACCTCTCATGCAAAATCACTTCTTATGTTTTTTTTTTCTCCAATCCCGAGGTATTTCCAGCACATAGGGATTTCTGAAATTATTATACTGTATTTTCCACACAAGTGATCAAAATTAGATACTTGTAAATTTAGAAATAAGATGGTAAGTTTTTTTTCAAAGTCACACTACCAATCTCTAGAGTTCAAATCTCACAGTCTTTACCTGGCACATTTCGCTTTTGATTATTTAGATCTTTTCCTTTTTTTTTATATCTCCTGTGCAAGACTTCTCTCCATTAAGCTTTCTAAATGACCCCTATAGTGAACTTTAGATCGATAACTCTGAAGTCAAACGATTATAGGATACCAGGTTTTTAAATATCCTTACAGATTTAATAACTCGAGTAAAAAAGATTACGAAGAGAGTTAAAAGATGCATCATTTTTTTTATGAAAATCTAATTTTTTTCACCTTTTGACATCTTATGTGCAAAACTTCTTTTCATTAAACTTTGTAAATGATCATTGTAACTAGTTTTAGGTCGATGACTCCCAAATCAGACGACTATAGGACACTAGATTTTTAGGGACCCTAACAGACTTAAACACTCAAGTCATAAAAGCTAAGAAAAGAAGTAACAGATGCATGACACTTGAATTTTTTTACATTTAAATGATCAGACTCTTTAACTCAAACTCCTTCAACTAACGCTGGGATCCGAGAATTACAAACCATTACACTTTTATGAAAACAAACACTAACATTCCCATGCCCAAACTAATTTATAGCAGTTTGGTTTCTATATGAAGGTCTTGGAAAAATTTATTCAAATCTAGGTCAACAACATCAACAATTAATTCCACTTAATTAAGTCATGCCTCAAGGCCCTCAACATAAGTGATAAATCAATATGACTATGTGCTTAAATAATCAAATTTAACATGTACAAGTTTTTGAGTAAAAGCATAAGTTATGGTTTTGTCCGGCATCTAATCAAATCTATACTCAATTCAAACAAATAAACATCATCATAGGCAGCAAGTCGTTTTACGCTAACTAGGCACTTTTTTTCCACAGTTATACAAAATCAGTCAGCAGTTGAAAAATAAATATATATCGGTTCCAAGTATCCTAATACCTACCCACCCCAAACTAAAATATTATATTGTTTCCAATGTAAAAGCAAAAAATAATCAAAGTAAAGGAGCAAGGATCAGAAACTCGTCGGGGTAGATGCGGATAGGCATAAGGATCAAGCTGGTCCAGTTGGTAGATGTAATGACAATTGCCACTTTTTCTTGTTGTTAGGCTTTAATTTGCTGTTCCAAAAATATAAAATAAATATTAGTTATAGCATATAAGGTTTAAATATTTGCAATGAATTCAAACAAAAAAATTTTAATCTTCTAACTATTAGAAAAACTATTTAACAGAGCATCATCTCTGCAAAAATCCTATATCTAAGCAATGACAAGTTTTTCAAAATAGTTTGGTGGTTGAAATTTAAGTGCAACCTTAATAATGCATACCATATCAGTGTAAGCTCAACATAATCCTAGGATGTGAACGATGAGCCTAAGTAAATTGAACTTGATAGATAAAAATGTCTAAATCACTAATGCAAGTCTTAAAATACTACCTAAAATGTGTTAAAACTCATTAAATGCAAGAATTCCTAACCATGGCCCAAAACAAACCTATAATGCAATAGCTAATCAAAATAAGTGAAAATGGATTGAAAAATGGGTTGCCTCTCATTAAAAGCCCGATTTATAGTCTAGAGCTCGACTTTTGGCACAAGTGTTTCATGGCACTTTAAATATGGCTTTGGATGTCCTGCTTAACTTGGCTTTGTTTCATATTCCAACTTTCTTCTAAATTTTGACCTTGACGTTCTCTAAGTAGTATGACTTCCCCTCATCATCTGTTTCAAACTCAACAATGTACACCTCAATCTCCTCATAAGGTTTAATCACAAACTCAATTTTTGAGCGAACGATGAAATCAATGAATTGCATACTAATTTCTTCTTCTTCGAATGCTACAATTTTTTTTTGTCCATTATGATTAATTTCTCGATCTTTTCATGCTCCTCTTCTTGAATTGAAGTTTTCTCGAGTTCAATGTTCGTATCAAAAACTTTTAAAAAAGAAACAATGACATCTTCATGAAAAGTCTTCTCCTCTTCTATTTGTTGGAAGTCAAATGGACATGATTCTCTTAATTGATATTCATTAATAATTGGTGGAACAAATAATTTCATAGAATTCAAATTTTGGTGAGAGAAATAATGCAATAGGCAAGTCACCTAGGATAGTTTCATCTAGTTCACATTTTGCGTTTATATCTCGTAGTCGCTGTCCTATAATGAAATCTCCTACAAGCATATTCCTCTCATCAATTTCTTAGTTGCCAATTGTTGTTGCCTTATGATGAAGTCACATACGAGCATCTTGTTGAAATCAACAACAGTAATCTTTTATCCTGCTATTTTTGTTCTTTTTTATAGCCTGAAGAAGAGAGGGAAAAAAGAAAAAAAAAACTAAAATGAAACAAAAATAATAATACAAGAATACAAGCAGAAGTTCGAATTAGTGTCACAATAAATAAAATCAAACTAAAACTCAATCTCTAACAATGGCACCAAAAACTTGTTCACGAAAAATATATTTCAATCTAAAACATCACAAGTGTACAGTTCGTTAATAAGTAATAAAGTGAATGTTGAGTCCAAGTATCGTCCCACAGAGATTGATTTAGTTCAATTTCTATTACCGTGACCTTAACCGAAACAATAAAAATGAGAGTATTTGTTATGATGCAAATTATAACTAAACTAAATTACGTATGCAATCATAAGTGATTTAACTAACTAAATGCAATTTATGATTGATGCAAATTGATGTGTTCTAATGAATAACAAACATACTAAGATCGCGAATCCCCATACAACAATTTCTGTTAAACTTAGTTTTACACTTAAACAACACAGTTGAATTTTAACGGATCGATGTTCCTATTTTATTTAATAATCTCTCTCGAGTAATGTTGAACTTATTCTTATATATGATCTGACTATATTTCTATGATAAATGCGAATACACAAGAATCATGAATTTTTAAGAACATTTAAATATTCACATAGAGCATAGCGATATATTTCTATCCCCTATCAGACCCTACGATGATTTATAGCATATCGAGCATATTCCTCTTCTTTCGAATGCATGAAACAGGCCATCAAATTCACACAATCACGTGCACAATAATTGTGGAGAAAATAAATCCATATAAACCATTCAAATTTCAAACCGTGTTTTAATGTCAAGAATGTAAAACTAAATATTAAAAAGTCATATCACATGGTTCATCGTTCTTTTAGCACAAACAAATCTAGCTTAGTATGATGGGAAGAAGAAAACAAATTGAATAATAAAGAGAAGACATCACCAATTTAAATTTTGAATTGAATCCTTGCGTCTTGATGTTAATCTTCACATTCTTGCCTCTAAAAATCCTTATGAATGTGTTGTAATGCGTGTTGAATGCTTAGAGACAGCCTTATGATTTTAAAATACCTTCCAAAATTTGTTTCTATAAGAATTTTAGTTAGATAAGGAAATCAGAATTTTTTCGCCGTAGACTGCCCAAGCTAACTTTTTTGCCACAATAATTGTTCCTTGATGTTGGGCAGTCACCCAGTTATAAAAACTTTCAAATGTTACATTTTAGTCACCAAATTCAATTCTTGATTCTTTTAAATTATCTCTTGCAATTTCAACCCTTTGACTTTTAATTACATCCAATTGAACCCGAAACATCTTTAATCTTCATTTTGTAGTTTGAATCAACTATTAAAATGTTATAATTTAACCCTCATACTTTAGATTTCTCCATTTTTCTTTTCCACTTGCATTAGAAATAGGTTCATCAATGAAAGAAACAAAAATTAGCCCAAGTTAAGTAAAAATCAACATTATCATGATATAAAAACTTAGCCCTCGTTTGGCCCCATTAATTTTCATTCTATTACATTTTATTTTTCTCTCTTATTTTCAACTACACAATCTTCCATAAAATAATATTACACGTAAACTGAAAATTTTTCCTTCTTTTTCAACCACTCATTTTTCAAAAAAATACTATTCCACCCATTAATTTTACCACAAAATGGGGGCCAAATGGGGGCTTAGTAATATGATCCAAATAAGTGCATAAAATGCGCATATCAATCACTAATAATCAATCCCAAACCAAGGTTATCTTCAACAATGTGGAGGTTCTTTATGCCTTGAATTTCTTGTTTTCCTTATCTCTATATGCAGCTTTGGTCACATATGTTTTGGGGAAGGTTCCAACAGAACACCCTTGTGAAATTTCCATCTTTTCATACCTCAAATACCAAAGGTTTTAGCACTTTTGGAAACTTGCAAATGTCCAAACACTGAAAATTCCATTTATCTTTACTTTATTATAGAAAAAATTAAAAAATGAATCCCCATGGTGGAATCTCTCATGTAACCCCACCCTCATTTTCGATATTATGATTTCCAAAATAGTGTTCTTTGAAGAATGTATGATTAAAAAAGAAAAAAAAAATTAGGCTTACGTGTTACATCTACCAATTTAATAGAGAGAGAAGATTATAATGTAAAGCAATCTTTTTTCTAGCTTTTTTTTTTTTTTTTTCCCAAAATATCTGCAAACATTTATTCTGGTTACATGCCAGATAATGACTAAACCCTATGCATCCAACAGAGAGTAGAGAGCTTTTATTTGGTTCCCCCTATTTCTATAAACAACTATTATTCTAAGTGCTTGTTGTCACTTTAAATATGAGGCATTCAGCGAAAATTCTACATTCAAAAGAAAACACCCCCCCACCCCCAAAAAACCCAAACAGACTTGTGGAATAGATTTTTCTCTGTAATTATTTTCCTCTTGTAATGGCGAGAATATCAAATCCTCTTGTAACTGGAAGAGTTATAAGAGATGTTATTGATGATTTCTCCCCAACAGTTCAAATGTCTGTCACTTACAACTCCAAAAAGCATGTCTACAATGGCCATGAGTTGTTTCCTTCCACAGTGAGCTTTAAACCTAAGGTTGAGGTTCATGGAGGTGATATGAGATCATTCTTCACTCTGGTACATATCCTCCTATTGTTCTACAAACTTCTATATATTTCTTGCGTATGTATTATTCTTACATACAACAAGAAGAAACAAAGTGTTGGCCTAATACATATAGAGTCGGCTACAATATTTCCCGAAAAAATTGGAGTCTGTTTACGTGAATACATTTTTTTTTAAGTATATTGGGTTCATACATGTCTTTCTGAAATACAACAGCCACAATCTAAGCCTTATTCCACGTAAATTTCAACTTCCCACATGAATCTTTTCTCCTTTTATTCATCTCTTGTCATTTTTCATTGTTTTAGGTTTGTTAATTCTTGCAGATTATGATAGACCCTGACGTTCCGGGTCCTAGTGATCCCTTCCTTAGGGAACACTTACACTGGTATGCTCTACAGTTTTCTCTCAAAAGCAGTAAATTATAACATCAAAGGGAAAAGAGTAGTTGACTAACCTGTCATAGGATATGTACCTACGCAAAAGCACGACAGAAATAATTCACAAGACTGGACTTAATTAACTAGGATTTTCTTTGGATTATAAGACTAATTAAGGTAACCCAGCAGCTTTTGCAAATTTGCATTTACATTAATTTTGTTGAACCATTTTATTAATTTCACCAGTTCAGAATGTTCATGCTTGAAACAGATTTTTAAAAAAATAAAAAAAATAAAAAAAATGGGAATGATGTAAAGAGGTTTCTTGGTATTTGAGTTCAACTAAATTAACGGAATTAAGGAAGATGAGAAGAAAATAAAAATGATTTTTTTAATAATAGAAAAAATTACACTACACATATGTAGCTTTCTACTGACAAGTGACAACCATAATTTCTTGGTTGGATCCCGCTACAGGATAGTTACAGACATTCCAGGCACAACTGATTCCTCATTCGGTATGTATTTTACTCTAACGTCGAGAAGTTTAAGCTAATAGAAAACATGCCTTATGACGTGCATGTCAGATTCAAATAGCCGACAAACGCATATATAGGGGCGATCCTACTCAGTAGTAATGACATCTGGTTGAATAATTTTACGCAGGAAGAGAAGTGGTGAGCTATGAAATGCCAAAGCCGAACATAGGGATTCACAGGTTTGTATTTGTTCTCTTCAAGCAGAAAAAAAGGCAGACAATGGATGCACCACTTTCCAGGGATAAATTCAACACCAGAAAATTTGCAGAAGAAAATGAACTTGGCCTTCCTGTGGCTGCTGTGTTCTTCAACTGTCAGAGGGAAACAGCTGCAAGAAGACGCTGAAAATATGCAGAAAATAATAAGAGGTCTGCCTGTACTGCGTAGGTTGACTGTTATCTGGAATTGCTAATAATTAATCCACTGCTTCTTCATCAAAAGTCCTCGTATCCGAGTACAACAATCAACTTGTAATAGTAACTGTTCCAAAATTTATAATGTTGCTTTTGTTATTATCCACTAATGTTTGATGATAAAGAGAAAAAAGAAAAATTGTATACATTATATGAATTGTCGGGATTTCTCTAGTACGATTTATATAATCCGACTCGAATTTGACCTTGATATAATTTTGAAAAGAACTTCCAAACATATTGTTTCTAGAGTAAACATTGGTATATTTCCTCAATATCGTATTTTCCACAATAAAAAGATCGTTTTCACAAGTGACTTTGTTTCATGTGGTAAATGTTGGTATAATTCCATTGCTATCGCACTCGTTCTTTTAAATTAAAACTAGGAGGTGGTGTTCACAAATATTGTTTTTAGCTCGATCTCGAACTCAATAGCCTGATCTTGTCCTCCCACATTTACCCAAACACCAAGGTCGGGCTTCCATGATAAGCATTGGCGGACGCAAAAATTTTGAATTAGTAGGGCACAATCCCGAATATAAGAGATTGGGCTGGGCAGTCCCCTCCCCAGCTCACTTAATAGTTTTTAGGGCCAAAATCAATAAATAAAAATAAGTAAAAAAATTATGTGTACATTTAATTTTTTTACATGTTAGCCCAGTTTGTTACGTATTAGTCCGACTTGTAGTCCAAACCTAGATCCGTCCCTAACACAATCAAAATTGGAAAAATGTTGTAAAAAAATAAAAATAAAAAATGTTCGATATATAATAGAATGATTTAATACGATGCTTGAAAAATAAAAATAAAATGTTTGAAAAAAAATTATCGATATATATGGATAACTAAAACATCTTCATCCGACTACTCTAGATCATCACGATTGAATTTAGACATGAAAAATAAAATTTTATGAAATGAAATGAAGTTACACAACTTTGATCATCAAATACCACTATCCAATATTTTATTATTTTATTCCCCCAAAGGCCAAACGAAATTTTCTCATTCCAATAAAACACATGATGGCATACTGGCTTCTATGACTTTCTAGTTTATTCACTTACAACTCTCTCTCTCTCCTCTTTTTGTTTCATCCTTTACCCTCTCTTTCCAATCTCAGTCCTCTCACTTTCTTTTTACATGATAATTACATACACAATACAACACACATTTCTCTGAACGCCAGTCAAATAATTCAATACCTATGTGTTGACTGTTCAAAAATCTTTGCCCAACTCAATTCCTGAATTGTGATATCACCAATCACGGACGGATTCACTATGAGACTTTTTTTTTAAACACATACACAATACACACAACTAAACACATTTTATAGTATGCTATGTTGGTGGAAGAGTGTTCATCAACATAAGAAGAAGAAGAAGAAGAAAATGGGTTTTGATTTTCCAAGGGAAGGGAATTAGGGATGGGTTTCGATTTTTCCATTTGGACACTGGAGTCTTCTTTTGGGTCCTGCTGAAGAGGACTGAAGGCAAAAAAAAAATAATAATAATAATAAATAAATAAATAATCAATTTCTGGAAGTTGGTGGGTCACATGACCCACTAGGACCCACTGTGGGTCCGCCTCTGATGATAAGGTTGGGCTGTACATCATGGAACATAATCTTTATCTAGCACCTTCTAGATAATACTAAATCCCATTTCGACTATAATTCCCCATGACCTTTATTCTCATTGCTTATCTATCACGGTTCGATTCAAACTCAAACATAACATTTTCAATATAACAAAATGTAAGTGTTATGCCCTAGATCCAATCAACTTTGGACATAAATACTTTTATATATAATTAATGCAATTAAATGGCAGATCTATTATTTAATTAATAGACAATTAAATAAATAATAGAGTCCGTAGATTCAAATATCTGTAATTTGTTAATCACAAGGAGTTGTGATTGTGAGATACAAATTATATCTGATTGAATCTTATATCATCCGTGGTCGTAAGTAATAATGAGATACGGATATCGTTATTACGGATAGACCATCACGTGTGACATTTCTTACTTGTGAAGTAAGTAGCTGATCTCACAAGTTAAAGTGTGGTGACACTTAAATGAACACGTAGATGTTTTTGTTATAGAACAAAACATTGGAGACCCGTCGAGAGATTCCACATGGATAACTATCTGAGTGTCAATGGTTAATCTCTAACGTTCGGTAGTGGAATTGGTCCTTTGACTTGAGGTCGTCATGGTACCTTATATGAGGACAGTCATACTTTGGCGGTGTTGGATGTTGCT